AGGTACTTATATTTCATTCGGGTCAGACTGAACACGACGGCGCCCCCCAGTCGTAATCCAACTGTGCCTTCGGCCGTACACGTGGTGATGTATTCAAATCATCGGTATTCCGTTGGATGCTGACACCCGATTGGCCCAGCGCGTGCCGTCGCCATGGAAACGCGAGAGATGGCGCCGAACTGGCAGTACCAAACCACATCTCCCGCAGTATAATTAGGGTTATGAGAGTACTCGAAGCATAAATCAAATCTAATAATGTCAATTTCTGTGAAATGAAGTATGTCCTCATTAACATTTTAATTACCTGGCTTCAATTACAAAAGACAATTTAAACAAGGTACTTAGGATCATTTGTATCCTTTCGGCTAATATCAAAACACACCCTGAACTTGTCATGAATTCTCTTGTAATAGTCGAGAAACTCGCTTTCCGCTCTCGCCGAATCGAAAGAGAAGTTAGCATGGCGAAGCATAGCAGCACAATTGATCTGCGCGTGCCTAATTTCGAATCACTATTGCATTGCTCGTGGTCTTTTAACCGTGCATCTGCGTGTGCACAGAAGATAGAGATCACAGTTGATTGCTGCATGCTATGCCATGCAATGCCTCCCTCAGCAAGCAAACTAATAAATGACTTGAAGATGCAATTCACATCCTGTAAAAACTTTATAGCGCTGTCTATTGAAGGGGTTAGTGAATGTTAGATTGTATTTGCACACGTCATGGTCAAAGAGTCCTTAAGATTCTTCTATAGTAGGGAAGTTAGCAAACAGAAGGAAAGCTATGAAATGGGAAAAGAAACATGTTATTTCATTAAGATATATCAATTAAAATCATGTGATGTTACCTGAAACAGAGTCCCCCTGTTAGAAAAGAGGCTGGATATCCTTTTACATAATCTGACAATGCATTGTCATAGGAATATGAAGCATAATCTCCACTCTTTCCACTTCTATAGTTCTAAATTACTTGATATTTCTGCTTTTGGTCTATCTAAGAAATATGCCTGGCTGCAATTTGCTTAGCTATGGGGCCAGTGGAAAGGGAATATTTACACGTGCCTTATGGAAAAGTCTATCAGTTCTACAAAAAACAGCGTTACTTAAGGTGACAGCTTCATCAACATAGCCATATGTTCAAATTTAACTCTATATATGTACGTAAACGAGAGAGTGAAATTGGTTTACGGCAAAACATTTTTTTATCTGTGAACACTAGTGGCTGAAGCATAGGTAGGATTTCCACAAAAGTCAATATTCCCTGATCTATCTAGCTTATGTCACTGTTGCTTGAATTTAAAATGTGTATTATGGTTTTGGGGAGTATTTACATGAAGCCCCAAGAAAGACATTTTCAAAATGTTCACAAAAATGGCTTGGAGTCTGATTTTTGTTGAATTCTGTACATTTTCAAAAACTGCAGAAGTTGGCAATTTTTTGCCTTTCTTCAACTACAAAATATAAGAGAGGAAATTATTCTTAATAAAATCTATTCCTCAAAATTAGATCTTTAAATAAGGTAAAGTTCAACTTTTGTCAATGTGCAGTTTTTCTCGTAATTTTGTGTGAAATCAGGGCAGTTTTTGAAACAGATTTTTCTCAAAAAATGCTTAAAATTTTTAACTTTGACCTTTTTGAAAGGATAAAGCTAAATGCACTAAATATTACATATCACATCTCCAATAGAAAAGGGACACAAGTGCAAAATCATCATTTTTCAGCTAAAAGCTAATAAAATGTTACCAAGAGGTACTGTTACTATTCTGAAGTTGATTTTGAATTAGTTCAATTACTGTCTGCTAGAAGGTGAATATTTGGTACAATCTATAACAAGTATTACAGAACTACAAAACTTAAAATTGCTATTTCTGAGAAATCAAAAATTTGCACTTGTTACTTTTCTATAGTTTCTATTGGAGGTGCGATATGTTATTTTGCCCTCTTTTAATTTTAAAGAAAACACTGCAGTGTTTGTTCAAGTAGTAGTGTTGTAAAATATTGTATAACCATTTCCAATTATGTGAGAAAGTACATGCTATTGGAGCACCCAGTTTATCTGTTTTGAACTAGGTGTCTGGGAAGAGTTTGAAAAGAGAGGGGACAAATGTTATAATATGAATGAGTTTCACTGTAGATAATTAACTCAAGCAGTTCCTTTAAATTAAAGACCATCAGCTTTTAATACAAAATTAATGTATTCTGTTATTTAAAATAAGGATTTAAAAACAAGTACTAGGCAATGTTTCACCTAAATGTTTTATAGCCATCTTCAGACTGTTTTATAGAAAATACAGATAAAAGATTAAGAAGAAAATAATTTTGTTGTAATTAAGCTGTAATTTATTTAAAACTGTGAACTTTATTATAACAAAAATAAAATAAAAATCAAAAGTTGCATGTATCAACATCAGAATAAGTTTTTGATGTAGTAGTAGGCAGTAGTACCGATGTCGAATTAATAATATTTGTTGGATTATCGCCATCCTAATGCGGCAAGAGGTTTTCAAAAGGTAGAGTTCATAGTCTCGGAAACATTTTAGACATTCAGCCACTACTTGAACCTAAATTAACCTGTATAAATGTATATATTAGTTCAAATCTTAGTACTTGAAAATATGTGGACTGTTTCTGTAAACTTTTTGTAAGAAGTAAACTGATTTCAATGGCGGAAAGTAATTTTCATTTAAACCAGGGATTCCCAACTTTTCATTGACTCCATTTAAAAGAATAAATTGCTCTATCAACCCCCTCATGTCAATCTATAATATACTGTATACAGAATCATAACCCAAAGAATTGCACACGCTTAGCACTGCTAAAAATTATTTCATAGATCAATAATTTGGTCAATATCTAAATTTTCAATAATCAAGGATTCGTCTGCTTCTTGGTAATTGCGTTTCTTGTCTTCATTGTTGTGCAAAGATTGCCAAATGTGTTTTGTTTTTTTTATCAAATTAACATTTTTTAGTGCTTATTATAGTGAGTATTTTCTTGTGCAATAGAGTATTGATGTGAATACTTAGTTATAATTTCAGTTTTCTAAACATCCTAAGATTGTTGCTAGGTGTTGTTAGGTTTGCAGAAGCCCCAGTGCAGAAAGTCGAAATGTGGCCTTGATCTGTTATAAACGGGAAATTGTGTTTTAAATATAATTGGTGTGAGAATAAGGCAATGAACAAAATAAGCACGGAGTGTCTTTTTTAAGTTTTAGCCAATGTGTCCACAGGGGGGTATTATTGAAAGCCCCTTTACTTTGTGAGACCAGTGTGATTAGATTTTGTTATTTTGTTAGATTATGATTACAAAAATTATTAAATTAATTTGATAATCAGTGGAACCTTGATTATACTGGTCAATATCTGGTTTGTAGTCAATCATAGACCCCCAATCAACCTCTTAATCATCACTGATCCTTTTCAACACATTAACTCCCCCACATGGTTGATATCAGATGTGTTGGGAATTTTTGATTTAAACTTTCAAAGTTTCATGAAAGTTTTGATTTATTAATTTTTTTCTTTCTCTCAAACTTCTTTGTGCTTTTCTTGGTAAGATGTTTTTCAAGCGATAGCTGAAAATGATTTTTACAATATTATAATATTATGTTCCCTTTACAATTATGAATATTAGAAAGTATGTGGTGGTGTACCACCTAGTTTATGTTGTACTAAAATTCCTTCCTATTTTACTACAAGTTTTCTCAATGTCACTTATTCCATGCTTTTCTGTCCCCCTCATAAGTGCACATTTGGAAGAGATTGTTGACCTCTTTATAGTACATATAAACCATTTAAGATAATTGCAAGAGCTGACATGTTTAGGGAAAAATTACTTTTAACTGGCAGGTGTATTCAAAATATTTACAAAATCCTTTCTTGGATTCCCAGTGAGTTTTAAATATCTCAATGATAAATAATTTATTTTTTTAAGAAAAGAGAAATGATTACTGCGCTAAGTCACCTAAATCTAACATGTCAATTGTCACTGGTACCTCAGCTGACATGTGAGAAGCCTAAAGATGTCACACAAATTAAATTTAGTAAATGATTATTGTTAATGATTATGATTAGATGTAAAGTTAAACAGAACACGAGATAAGTTCATACTTTGAAGTTGTAAAAATCTGAAGCTAAAACACTTCATGTAAAACAAAAGTAAAAAAGTTACAATATTCAGAGTCTTCTCTTTTCATATCTCCTTTTTCCATCTTCCACTCTTGTACCCTCAGTTTCCAAGTGCTGTAAAGTACACTAAATACAAATAGGTTGAATTAGGTGGGTGGAATTGGGATATAATCTACTCAATGCTCAAAATTAGGGTCTGGACCTATTAGGCCAATAAACTTAAGGTCATTATTTATGACATATTTTGCTTGTTAACATAATGAGTACAAAATTATAATCAAAAATCTAAAATTGACATCACTGTCTTCCTTTGGTCCTATCAAATTTTCAAGACACAAACTTATATTAGTTATCTAGAGTAATACAAGGTTATAGAGCATGACACTTCTAATTATGCATGCTATTGTTAACATCCTAATAACACAATATAAAGGAAACTCATTTCATATTGTAGGCTAAAAAAATAAAACTCTTAAATTCTTAGGGATTTCCATGGATTATTTGCCAATTACGTACACCTGCCAAATCACTGGCAGGTGTCCATCAAACAAACTAATTTACTATATTGTGACCAATTAAAATTGTCAGCACTATCTAAGGTCTGTCTTAATTGCTATCACTGTCATTGTGAACCAACCTAACTTCTAAAATGCTTATTTTATAAGAAATTACCTTGCATTTCTCCTTGTCAGTATTCAGTGCCATTACTTTGTGTTAAAGAATAGTCCCTTGTCTCATTAAACACTCACTTTGGCATGTGATAATTTTTATTTTATTAAGACCTCAGATCAATTTTATATTTAATATTTTTTTATGAAATGAGCTTGTGTCCTTGGTAACAATAAATTGTTAATATTAAATTTTTTTTTTTTTAGGATACGCATCACATTCAATATGGATGCAAGACAATATGTTATTCTTACGAACTCGGCAAGTAAAAGATCCCTTTTTCCATCACGCCCTTCAGCATCTGAGAGTAGTGATGAAGATTCTTTGGGCCATATGTCACCATTAAAGAGTTCATCACCTGATCGATACAGTTCACCTCGATACTCTCCACTGTTAATTGAAGAAACGCCTTGCAAAATGGATACATCACATGATGACAGTTTAAACAACTTGCAGATAAATAAAGTATGTCGCAACTTTAATTCTGTCCTTAGAGACTCTACTCCTCAGAAGATATCCACTGAAGTTATTGGTGATACTCCAGAAAAAGAGACCAGAAGTGATATGCTTACTCCCTTTAAATGTTTAATTCAGCGTCGGAATATTGAAGAAACTCCTGACAGTACAATCACAAAAACTTCAGATGCCATTAGAAAATTATGTTGGAAGAAAAAAGAACATGTGAAAAGATCTCCGGAAAAAAATGATGATTCTGAGAAAAAGGATTTTGACTTTAATAGTAACATCGCTAATTTAATCAAGAATTCATTTTACAGACCTGCAAATAGCAAGGCAAAAACTGCTTTATTTCCAGAGAAACTAAGCAAACCAACTGTAAATGCTGCCACAAAAATTAATCGAAGAAGACATGTTACTTATACACATCATGGTGGCCTCTCCAGAAATTCTCACAAACGACCCCGTGTGTTATTTGGAGAAATAAATGCTGGTGTCAGACATAGGGTTAAGAAACCTAAACCAAAGTTTAAACGACATTCTGAAATAGTTCGAAAGAGCATAGAAAAGCCTTTAATTTCCCCAGAGGATAGAGTGGAAAAATACATTAGAGAGAATGAGTTCTTGGATGAAGGAAATGTGCCTTCAAAGAGACCAAGAATTGAAGAAGTTTCTCTTGTTAATAGTTATAATAATGGACTGAAAACTCTTGCGGCTCAAGAACTGCATACGAGTGTAAACAGTCCAGCTGCAAGAGAAATTAAAAATGCGCGGAAGAGCCCTGAAGTTGAAATTGCTCCAGATCCAACCAAAAAGTTTTTCAAAACTAATAGAACCATGGCAATTGATCACAAAGCAACTGTGACTGTTGTCAATAATGTCAAGTTAGTATGCACTCTTTAATGTTTATGCTTGTTATTATTTAATTTTATGTATAAGTGAGTGCACTTTTGGAAAGATAATGTTGAATGCCTGAATTTTGAAGCCTGAAAGGGAATCTTTTGATAAGCTCTTGTCCAGAACAGCACACTTGGAACAACTTATTAGCTGTGTAAGAAAACGTAAATAAGGTGTAACTTTCTCTATAAGAAGAATCAGCAAATTTCATGATGTAGGCACATCAAAGGTGGTGGTGGGGGGGGGGCTGATTTATTCAATTGAACGCTAATAACGAGAATATTGTTTATTAATGGAAGTAGTTTACTGTAACAATATGTAAAACTCATTTGCTATTTATAAATTAACTATGTCAATGGGCAGTTGTTGAAAATTATTCTTGTAAAATGTCGCAAGTAGTATTTAGTAGAAAGTAGCCCCTTTTATGGAGGAAAAATAAAAAAATAAAATTGGTCTACAGAATATTCTATTTGAATGAGTAAAAGATTCCTTTTTAGACTCAAATACTAGTTAAGTGCAGTGCTTACTCTTTCCAAAGTGTTTAATTGTATAAAAAAGTCAATTTGGAAGGTTTATGTAAATTGAATAATATCTTATTTAAATGATTACAGAATTCAAGTTCACAAAGGGAAGCTGGCTCTTGGTAATTCCCCTTCAAGAATTGTGAAGCCAGTAAAGAAGCGGCCGGTTGTACTAGAAGATGTATTTGAAGAAGATTCTGCTACTACTCTTGCTACAAGTGTTGTACAGGAAACTGTTAAAGAGGTTCTCCAGAAATTGGACAATGAAATTGAAACATCTGTGGCTGATGATTCTCATCATATTCAAAGCATCACCACTTCAACATCATCTCTTGCATTGCATGATGGTGAAATAGTAAATGCATCAGGAAGAGCATGTGTTGGTGAATATCGGGGCATAATTTCTGAATCAGTCAATGATGAAGAGAATAAAAACCCTGAAAATGTTGCTGGTACACCCGACGGAAAATTGTATCCTGTTTTTTACAAGCGGAAAGGACTCTTTGAGTGAGTATTTTTTAATTTAAAACAATCGTTTGGCTGATGGTGATTTTGATTTGTACCCTTAATTGAAATTGAGAAACATTGTCTATTTACCTTTATTACCTTATTTTACCTTAAAAGTTGAAAATAACCATATTTATCATTGTTAAATAGTAATATAAAATAACAAAATTAATTAACCACTCAGTTAACAGGACTTGTTTAGTTTTATAAATATGTTAAATCTTTTTGCCCTTGATCATGACAATTATGATGTTGCATTTAGCTGATCATCAGTACACCATTTTGAGAAGGCATAGAAAGCATTTTTAGGTATCATGAAATCTGTAAGAAGACTCAACCATGTTGGAAGAATGGTTACGAAAAATACTTAAAATTAAGTGTTTAAATACTTCACCAAAATACTTCAGAAATAACTCTTCAAAAATACACTTGAAATACTTGAGATTTTGATTTTCTAAATTCATATGTATATCAAATACTTAAAATATTTAAGAAAATTCAGTAAATACCGTTGTATATACTGAATTAACACTTATCTTTTGTTATTGCAACAGTTTTATTGTAATTGTTCATTACAATAAATTAACGATTGAGACTCGTATAAATTTCTGAACAAGAACTATTTTATAAACGCTTCCAAGTATAAAACCATGTCGAAAATATATCTAATCCACATTAACAGAATTTCCTTTTAAAGACTTAATTTTTCAATGTAATCATCAGACAATATACCCTTTGTTGGCAAATGTTTAAAACCACAATGGAAAAGTCATTAAACTGGCATGTATGAACATAGTGTTACAATGAATAAATGCTTTTTTTTTATTGACAGATAATTGTCCAGAATTTTTATTGATTTAGATTTCTTTTAAAAAGGAAGAGAATTTAAATACAATATCTGCTGTCACCATCTTTTTGAATGGGAAATTATTTCATAAAATAGGTATTTTTTGTTTGTAGTTGATTAAATAACAATGATGATAAAAAATTAAAATCTTAGAGCTTCCATCAGGTTCCATGGGTAACTGAAACTCCTCCAAGTGTATGTAGCTTGGGAAAATCTACTGAAAATTGATCCATAATCCTTGCATGTTATACTAGATTGGCCCTTTCATCATGGACGTTAGCTACCTTTCTGAGACTTTACCATAAAGTTTTAATTTTTTGTTATGGTGTTATTGTTGGCGGTAAATTAGTTTCTTTTACTTCCTTAGACTGACTTTCTTTGTTGGCACAGTGATTTAGGTGTTTGTGAAGTTGCTTGTATTGTGAAAAATGCCACTCTTTTTGTGATGTTTTTATACCAAGTTACCAGAGACCTTTTGTATATTATTTGCCTTTTTTTCAGTTCATCAAATACTGTGAGGAAATCCAGTCCACATATCAAGAAAATGCGTTTAATTGGAGAAGATCAGTACCAAATAGATGCTGGCCAGTCCCGCTTTCGGGCTGTAAATTGTAAAGAATGTGGTACTTTATATCATCTTGGTGATCCTGAAGATGAAATAGCACATTACAACATTCATAACAATATTTCTACGTTCAGATTTGTGGTATGTATTGCAATTGTGCATGTAAACTTCACAGTATAGGGTGTTTTGTTTCACCTGCAGAAACTCTTCTGCCTCTTATGAAAATAGTATTGACGAATACATCTGAATAATTTTACTGTCAAATGCTGCAACAACCAGCTCATGACCTTGATGTCATGCTGTTTAAATTTGAAATAATTGAAGTACAGTATGTCCTGTAATTGAAAGTGCAGAATAATTTAAAACAATTTTTAGAAGCAACTGTACATCTATGAGAGAAATAATGGAGTGTAATGTTTTGTTTGTAATTTAGTAAATAAACTTGTAGAGTTAATGTAGGTGAAGAAATTGCTCTCTAAATGTGTATTCCTGTGAAGTTTTTGTATTAAGTATAAAAAATTAGGGATATTTGTTTTAATGCCAAGAAGCAAAGTAGTATTGTTACAGCAGTGTTATCAAATTGTATGTATTGGTTTTAGTCATGATTGGTATTGAACATGCCTTATAAGATTACTCAGGTCTGTATTTTGTAACTGCATACAATATTTCGACTGATGTTTTTGATTATGCTGAAACTAAAAAATTGCAATGTGTTTTATCCATCGAGTTTGCAATTGAAGAGTGGCAGAGTTACATATTGTTGCGGGGAGCAATTATCGTAATTGTTGTCTTAAAGAATGAATTATTTTACTGTGCTTTTGAACTGAAATAATACATTTTTAGCAGTTTTATGCTATTGACTTGCTTGTGAGACCTTCACTTATTTCCCTTCATGCTACTTGTTGGATTTTGTTTGTTGGTGTCTGTTTGGTGCCCCAATCTACACATTTTTTCCTAGATAAAGTCTCTTGATAACACGCATCCTGGTCGCATCTCTTCCTGTGCTCTTCACTGAAGCTCCCAGGCATTCTGGGAAGTGGTTCACATAGAACTAAAAGGAATGGACTTTCAAGTTCATTTTGTAACCTTAAATTCTGAATGCTCTATGAATACTGATCACAATGCAAATTCTAAGTATATAGGTACTTTGTTGTTACTTAGGAATCAATTAATGACAGACTTCAGTGATACCAAAGCTTCTTTTTAAGGTTCATTTGTCATTTAGTGAAGTCATCATCTGAGTGGGTTTTATGAATACGAAGTCCTACAGAAATTCTTTTAATAATCTGTTGCAAAGCGGTTTTGAGCAGAATACAAGGAAAAATCCAATAAAATAATTAATTTAGTCTGAAACAGTAATTTTGCTGGTTTACTGTTAAAAAAAAAAGTATTGATTCGTAAAAGTAAATACTAGATGTGATTGAGAAAAATTGAAATCATTCAGTTTTTGCAGAAGAGGCCTTTGAAGTACTCCATAAATTCTATGTACTTTATTTGCAGACTAGTGTATTATATGAAAAATTACCTTTCCGGTAGTAATTTAAGTAAGTTATTATTCCTTCACATGCATTGAAATAATTCATCAATAAATAATTCAAATTCTTTATTAAGGCCGGTGGGTAGTTTTTTAACAGAACTTTGTTTTCATGTTTGTCAAATTTGGCTTTAAGAATTTGAATGAAGAATCTCATAATTCCTATGAGATTAAAAATCTTAATATATTTTTAGAATATTTCAATGGTAAATTTCTCTTGTGCTATATTGCATTTTTGTGAATACCAGCATTATAAAGGACCTTTTTCATTGCATGAAATCGTAAATAAAATGTTTCACTGTGTTGGCAACTATTGTTCCTAAAGACAAACCCTGTCTATCATCGTTAACCAACAATGTGTGTGTACTTCCATTTCATCCTTCTTCACACTTCATGCCAATGGTACTGATATTACTAATAAATAAAAATATTTGGCAATACTTTGTTTTCAATATTTGTATATTGCTGTATTGCTTTTGGTATTACAAATGTTCAGAAATCAGGCATTAGATACTTTGTTTTCATGTAGATTTGTAATTACTGTTTTTCTTTTGCAGGGCTGGAAGCATGAACATGTAATCAAACTTTATGAAAATGGAGAAAGAATAATTGTTATTTATCCAGACGATCCTAAAGCATGGGTGAACAAAGCTAAGGATGTTCTGAATGTAATTGACAAAGAAATGGGTTTTGTAGATGGAAGTTTAATGGAAATCGGGAGTAATAAGGTGAATATGACATTTAAAAATAGATTTTAAAGTAAAATTCAATATTATTTTAATTGTAATGTCATATTTTTTTCCACAAGTCAGTTGTGTAAGTAAAAGATACATTTATGTAGTGTATTTTGGTTAATATTTTTGAGAATTTTTATGAATCAAAAGAATAATTGTTTGTCAGGATTTTCTTTTTTCCTTTGTTTTTTCCGCTTCTTCTTTTTAATACTTAAGTTATGTAAAATATTTTTTTGTAAGAATATTTTAAATTATGAAACTTTACTTGGAAGCTGTCTTCCAATGTTCTAATAATTTTGGTATAGTTTGGAAATTTTCTGAGAACTTTATTCAATTACTTTGCTTCTCTTGATGTTTGTACTCCTGTAGTTGTGCCTCATTAACCTCACAGTAGTCCTGGCATATTTCTAAATGTGATTAGTCACAACAGACTGAGTGGCTGGATGTAGCTAATATTGGATAATGGCAAAGTGGGAAAGTCAAATGTGCCTAGGTATAAAAATAATCTATGTAGAAATAGCCTGAATGTAATAAAATTTCAATGGAAAGTTAACAACAATGGAAGGTAAATTTTGTAATGGATGTGCGGAGAAGTGTTTCAAAGTTCATGTAACAAATCCATGAATTTTTTAACAAACATATTTTAAAAAATGGGTTTATTTAATAAAGTACATAAAAATAACATAAATTTTATGTTTACACATGCTTGTAAAACTATTTTCTTCTTTTCTAATCATTTGAAGATATCAATATAATGCTGGTTGTGGCGCTGGACTTGGGAGGAACTCTGAAAACTACTATACTGGTCAAACTGAAATAAGCGAATTAAAACAACCATTTGTATGAAGGAACTGAAATAATTTTTTTTTCTAGGGTCAATATTGTGAAATAAAGTGATAAACATATTGCTATTTCAATTGTTTTGATAGTGTTTGAAATTTGTAGGTGTATTTGTATGTGCTGAAGAATCGCATTGTTGGTGTTCTGGCTGCTGAACCTAAACGTGAAGCATATCGTATGATAAACACGGGTATAGATGGGCCTGATTGCTGCTCGGAAGAAACATACTCTGTTCAATGTGGAATAAGCAGAATTTGGACTGCCCCTGACCTGAGAAGAAAAGGAATAGCTTCAAAACTTGTTGATAGTTTAAGGTAATTAACTGGGTTGTATTAATGAGGGAGAAAGATAAGTTGTTAGTTTTTAACTTATTATTTTCTTGAGCATATAATTCTGAATGAATAGGTATTTTTTTGTTTTTCATTTATTTGCAATATCTTTAATATTGTTTTGAATTATAGTTTGTAATATTTATTATGGATTACATTACACACTATATCCAGGGATGTTTTCAGCTTTATAAATTAAATTAAGTTGTCATTAAGCTTGTTGAAGCAATAGACAATGTCAAGATATTAGAAGATTAATACAATAATTACATATATTAAAACAACATAGAATGATTCCTACCTTTTAAAATACAATTTAAAAAAAATGTAAATTACACAAGCCTAGATGATACCAACAAAACCCTTCAGGATAGATGGTCCCAGGAAGGTACTCAAAATACTCTTTTTATGGAGTAGAAAGGGGTAGCTACCAGACACTTACACAGTTCTGTTTGGAACTGGTATTCTGTTTTTTTCAGTTAACTGGGATGGCTAACTATTGAATTCTTTTAATCCTAAGATCTCATAACTAGCGAGATTTTATCAGTCTGATAGGGCACTTCAATTTGTTTACATCCCCTTGTAGGAATGTAGGTCATGTTTGTGTTGAAGTACTCTGGATAGCCTGGTAGCAATATGTTTGCTATGAGGTTCGCAAGATAAATATTTGTTATTTATCACCCTTAGAATTTTGAACTGATCTGAATCTGTGATTATGTTGTACTAAAAAACAGTTGTGAAGTTTTCTTTTCATAGAGGACAAAACCATTAACTTTGAACAATTTTGCAGCTTCACTCATAGTAGTTAGATTCAAGTTTGGAAATGAAGACTAGAATTAAAAAATGTTTTATCATCTGCATATAATGTCGTATTAGCATGGACACCCAAATGGTAGATATTTATCAAAAGAATGAATTGCAGAGCCCTGTGGCACACCACATCTTACTGTAATTGTATTGGACTTCTTGTTCCCCACAAACTATTTGTTTACGGTCCCATAGATATTACTTTAACTAAATGAAGCCTGCTTCCTAATAATGCCTTCCTAATACCAGAAAATGTTAGCTTGCTGATGAATGTTGTGGAAATGTCAGCTTATTTACGAGAATGTCGTGATCAACACAATCAAAAACCATACTAAGGTCACAAAATGTAGCCATTGCAATTATTTTTATCTTCAAATGTTCTGATAATATTTTTCACAAGAGAATTAATAGCATTCACTGCGGACCTACCCCTTCTAAAGCCAAATTGTGAGTTACTAAATAAATTTTGTAGATCAATATGTTGACATAATTGTGAATACATAATACTTCTAAGTACTATGGTGAATATTTTATTTTTAAGAATGTTATCATAATTGTCTGAATATAAGACTGGCTTTTTTTCTAAATATCACATTCTATGAATATGGGTTTGTCTTATATTGGTGACCATGGTACAAAATTACTTTGTTTAAATTCAACTTAAACACTAAGAAATTCACTGATATCCTAGAAAGTAAAGATGTCGGTAAGTTTTCAACTGAATTTCACCATTTAATCATGACTTCTTTCTTTCCAGATTATCATTCATGTTCGACCATATTCTTGATAAAAAGGAAATAGCATTTTCTGTGCCAACAGAAAATGGTAAAGCATTTGCAACAAATTACATGAAGACCTCAGAATTCATGGTGTATTACAAATAAGATTTTTGTGATTGTATATTTTTTACTGTGTTGACAAACTTTCTACTAGACTTTCTTGTTTCCTTGTTCAATATTGGTTAAACCAATTGAAGTTCTTTAAAATATATATTTTTAAATGTTTAATTTGTAACTTATTGCCCTAATTTGAGAGTTCTTTAAATGTGATGTAAACTGTAGTTTTAATTAAAAGTTATTTTCAATAAAACTGATGGTACCTATGTTTGTTTTTATATTTAAAAAAATAAAAAATAAAACCTGGGTTTCAAAATTCCTCAGATATGTCTACAAATGTTTTGCTGAAATGGGAAAATTTTCAAATTTGCAGTATCATAGACTAATCAGGGAATATTTGGGAGAAACGATGTCCATTGACAAATAGCAGGATTGTTGTGAGAACGTTTGTGTAAAACTTGTTTGCATAATCTTAATATAGGTATTTGCAGAGTTACAATAGTCGCTTGTGAGAAAGCAAAACTAATTGCTTGTGTATTTAACATTAATCACTTGGAAAGTGATCTGAAATTTCATGTAACTTAGCAATAATTTCTGAAATTTTTTTAAAATGTTTGTTTTATGAAAAATCGTGTGGTAATTTATTTCCTTGCTTTGTTTGTGCTCATTAACACTAGGACGATGGCAATTTCCTTTCTATCTAGTAGAGTGAACCAGTCATTTTGATGGGTATGTGTTTTATGTAGCATAATCATCAATGCAATCGTTCAGATTTAAACTTAAACTTCTTATTTGTTTAAGAATTTTATTGTTTTACTAAGACTTCTTACTGATGTAACAATGGGTAACCTTAATATTGAATAGAACTTAAATGTTTTAATTTTTAGCTTATGAAGTTCTTGATACTCAGTAAAATTAATTAATAAATCCTTCCAAAAGCTTCAAAGCAGCGTGCTAAAGTATAAAATATGTTTCCAGCATGATCCACATATGCAGATGTTCCTGGACTTGTTCTTGTCTCTTCATCCTATCGGGGAGGCCTTGCGAATAGACTGCCGATGAGAGAGATATGATGGATAAAAAGTGAAGATTTTGCTACATAGGAAGATGCTAGTTCTGATAATTTGAAGATACAATCCGGCGAGATATTTTCTCTCCAGTTACCTCCTGTATAATATACGTGCACTGATGACCACCTCATCCAGAAAAATACATGCACAGACTTCCTTTTACACTAATACAATACACTCCTAATTTCACAGTATACAAACGGGCCATTTGATCAAGTATGTCAATGCCACATCTTTCATTATAAAATTGTACTGTTGAAGTTTCTTGGTGTATTCATCAATAATTACAGTTTGATACAATGTACTAAGTATCAACATTTCTGTTTACTTTTATCTGATAGGATACCAAAAGTCAACATTTTAACCATATTTTCATATATTATAAATTGCAAAACATTTTCATATTACATTTTTTTTTAATTGGAAAGGATATGAATTCTACAACAAAATAGGAAACATATAACATCACAGCTAAACCAATGTGTCTATACAGTTCAGAAACGTGGACAATAGAGGGCAACAACAAACAGAAAATACAGCTCAAATGACATTCCTAAGGCACCTCTTCAGAGTCACAAGAAAGGAGTAAACCTGCAATAGGCCAAACGAAATTTCACCAGTAGAAAAAAAAAAAAGAAGCTGTAATCTATAAAAAGTTTGTTCTTCAAAGACAAAACGGGGGAAAAAACGTTTGGCACATTACCTTTCGAAGCATTCCTTTTGTGATGGTGCCTAATATTTTGGACCACTCAGAGACAAAACTTAAAAAAAATGTCTGTAATTAATATGTTAAAAAGTCTCAGAAATTATTAATTTTAAAACTTTTCTTTGGTTTTGATAAAACTAAAATATTTTTTCAAAATTTTTTTGAGGGGTTTCACACATTTCAAGTAGAATTGTATTAGTATTGAATTGTAGAATTGTATTATATTAAAATCAATTAATTAAAGTAAGTAACTATTTTATTTTTCAGTGCAAAAAACTAAGGTCAAGCAACTTCTAATTTTATTGAATTATCCATAATTAAATTTGAAGTACGGAGTATATTTTTCTATGTATTTGCAATTGTCTATGCAGTATACTTCATGCACCTGTGAGTAGATTGAAAAGTATGTACTTTTAGTGAGCTGCACAAAGCAATGCTAGTGGGTCATCTGTGCACATTTCTTTGCGCTTCAGGGACCCAAGCCCCTAGTATTTTACTGCACAATTTCAATTCTCATAAAAGGTAATAAGCGCTTTAATAAGAAGTTGAGACCAACCTTGGATGTGATGAGTGGTAATTATTTTGAGTAACAACAAAATATTGTTTGGATATTAGGAATAACGCACATTTCTCACGTGAGTAGGCTGTTCATTTCTACTTTCCTGTATGTGTGTGTGTATACAGAGTAATATACGTAGTAATGAGAAAGTTATGTGATGCTGCGGAAAATCGATTTCGAGATTTCAACGGAAATGCACGTTTTGGGGTCCCTTGATGTCAGAAAAGGTAGCAACACTAGTGCCTAAACCATTCGTAGAATTGTTTCCAAATTGAAGAAACCCCTGTCCGTTTGGCCTGAGTCGAAGCTGTGTGATTTTGAAAATCATTAGTTTTTGGGAGTACTTTACATGAAGCTCCCGGGCATTTTCAAAATTTTCTCAAAAACTGCTCCAAATTTTGTCTTTAAATTTCTTGTAAGAGTAGAGTAAAATATATTTATAAAGGTGGCAGATGTCCGATTTTCACGGTTAACTCTGAATTTTCTAAAATGTCAAAAGTTTGAATTTTTTGGCATCTTCCTACAACTACAAAATTAAAGATAGATTTTCAAATTTCAAGTAAAATTCGTTCTTCATAGCGAGTTCTTTCATTAAGGTCGTATACATTTTTTTGAAAATTTTAGTAGTTTTTACACAACATTTGTGCAATATTTACGCAACAGCGTGCAATAATTGCAATTTTCAAAAGTTACAACAAGATTTCCTCAAAAACGGCTCCAAATTTTTTCTTTAAACTTTTGGTAAAGATAGTGTATAATGTATAACACGACATAAACGCCATATTGTTCTATTTTGTTTTTTCAAAAATTACAAAAAGTTCTTTTTGACTTGCCTATCATGTTAATATTTATATTAGCGGCAGTTTGTACACATTTATGTGTACATGTGCTTTAATTGTCATATAAAGTTTCTGAAAATTCTACTGTTTTCTGTGTTCCTCAAAACTGCATTTTCAGAAACGGTCAAACGCCATTTTCTCAAAGACGGCTTCAATTTTTTTTTTTGAAACATTTCGAGCGGATAGTGATAATTGCGCTTTTTAACATGACGTAAAGTTCATTTCGGGCAAATTTTTTGAAAGCTTTTTTCACGCCGTTGAAACGCACATTTCCAGCAGTTTGTAAACATTTTTGTATTTGTGAGTTAATGCGCTTAAAATGACTTCAAAGTAATTTTTTCGAAAACAAAAAATTTCTGAGAAAACGAGCTTCAAATTTCGAATTTACAGTAGCGCTTAAACGCCAGTTTTTAAAAAAGGCTCCAAATTTTTCAAAGAAAATTGCCATTTGGGCGAAGTTTTACTGTTCTTTAATAATCTTAAAATAATATTTCTGCTCTACAATTAGGGAAACGAAAAATTAAGAAAATACCAAAAATGTACTTTAGTCAGCGGTAGATGGCAAGAATACATGGCAAGTTCGAATAGTTAATCGAGACCAAAAGAAACAGAAAACTAATACGGGAAAGTGTGCCATTCTGTAGCTCCACTAGTTTCCTGTTAAATTTAAACGAATAGCGATTGGCGAATCGTGCAATAGAAATCTTCCCGCCGAAATTACGCTTCGTAAAAGCGACAATACATTCGGCTAATTTCGGGAATGTCCGGCGAAGCCGGAGCCCCAGTTGTGTTGCGCGCCGTGGCCAAGCGGCGACAGTTCCGCGCCAGCCGCGCCAGCGTTCGCCGGCTGCCGAGCACCACTTCACCCTTCTGACCGGTCACTGCGTTTGCTACTGCCGGCATGTATGGAATGCTCTTGGAGTCTGTTCAGCACTTCATCCAGGTGAAAGGACTTTGATTTCTTTTTATATTATCATTGCTAGAGTGCCCTTAAATTAATGACACGTGGAAGATAGAATGTAATACTTTTCACACCTTTCTTGAAATAGTAAGGTCGGTTCATAGAAAATCTCAACATCGAAAAAACAACAAAGATTTAGAATTTTATAGTAAGTGCTTGAAATCGATTTACTTAAATAGGATACTCTCTCGCGCGAACAATGTGTTATCAGTATATTATGAACATCTTTTCTGGAAAGCTTGTGGTTTTTGGAAAATATATTTTCAACATATTGTTGAAATTTGTTTAAATTTATTTTTTCTATCCACACAATATGTACATTGGAAGCTACGTTTGTTTTTCGTAAAGAAAATCCACGAAGATGGTCCAATGTCGAGTGGGTACGAAGTGCTGAGAAATGCAAAGCTTGAAAATATGGATACTGTCTAACAAGAGGTTTATTGATTCCAATTGCGATTATTACAAGTCATTTTTTTTGTTAGGAAGGTTATTGCAGTTTGGCTTTTGAAAGAAGCAAATTCTTACCAAATCACTTCTGTCATTTGCTAAATAGCATTGGTGAAGATTGCATTATTTGCTCGTAATTCTTCTGGGCTGTTACTCCTACACACGGTCCGGAAGAAATCTGAGGGACGGGAACTTTCACACCGTTCTCTTTACTTAATTTAATTTATATTTACCATTCACTTAAATTACAAAAACCAAAAGGAGAGAAACAGGCCAAGACAGGCGTTATCTGTTCTCCTTAGGGATGGGGAATTGAAAAGTAAGTCCTCATCCCTATATCTTCATAAATACAACTTCACGAATTCCCGCATCCTGCGTTTTGGAGTGCCGAGTATGATTTTATTACTTTTCAAAATAAACTACTACAAAAGCACATACTTTCTTGAACTTCTTTTGAAATGTTAACATCTTGCAATTTCCGAATATACAGAATTTGCTGGTAATAAGACTAGTATCACTTTTTAACGGCTCTTTGATACGCACTAAGAGTAAATTAAAAAAAATGAGCCTTTTTTGTTTTGGGAAAACAATCTTTTAAAAAAATTGAAAAATTGTCCATATTTCACACAAAATTAAACGAAAACTCCACATATTTTCGAACAATTGGACATAATCCTATTTCAATATTTGTGTTGAAAGAACAGATTTCATTAAGAAAACTAGTGGTGTAACGGAATTGCACTGACTTCCTCGTAGTAACGTTTTCTAATTCCCTGTTGTGAGCTAGTCTGCCCCATCCTCTTGCCAGCTGCCATCTACGAGTATCACCGCTCAAAAAATATATTTTTTAAAAATGTTCTCAGTTTTCTCATTTCCTAATGATATATTCGAAATATTACTTTCAAAATATTACAGAAAAGTAAAACCTCGTTCTATATGGAAATTTTCATTGAAACATTTGGAGCCATTAAAAAAAAAGAGGTTTATGCTCGTGTAAATCGAAATTTGAAGCTCTTTTTCACAAAAATCTTTAGTGTTTTCGAAAGACTTAATTTGAAATCATTTGAAGCACTTCATTCACAAATGCAACTAGTGATACAGAATGGCACAGACGTATTAGTTTTCTATTTCCTTTGGTCTCGGTTATACACACTCACCACATACTCTTGCCTGCTGCCATCTATCGCCGCCCAAAGTACATTTGTTTGAAATTTTCTTAATTTTTCGGTTTCCTAATAGTAGAATGTAAATATTATTTTAAGAATATTACTGAACAGTAAAACCTCGTCCCAATTTTCTTTGAAAAAAATGAAGCTGTTTTAAAGGCAATCGCGCTTTAGCGCTACTTAATTACGTAAATTCGAAATTTGAAGCTCTTTTTCACAGAAAATTTTTAAGTTTTCGAAAAACTTCATTTAAAGCATGTTAATTAATAAGTTTTAACTCAAAAATACAGTAGTGTTTTCAAATTGTTGGAAATGTGCTTATTACCGGCGTGAGAGATCTTTCTAAACATTTTCATTTGTGGAATTTTTGAAAAAACAAAAAATACCCCGAAATTATCTGTTCGAAAAGTTTGAAGAACAAATTCGGGGCAGTTTTAAAGAAAATGACGTTTGAGCGTTTCTGAAAAATGCGGGATTTTGAACTCACAGAAAACACTTGAGTTATCTAGAACCTTTATATTACATTATTTAAAGCATATATACTCGTAAATACAATCATGTGAACAAATTGTGGCTAAAATAAATATTAACGACGTAAGAGACAAATCAAAATATTAAATTTTTGTAGTTTTTGAAAAAACGAAAGAATAGAGTAATATGGCGATTAAGTCATCTCATAGAGTGCATTTATCACTATCCCTACCAAAACTTTAAAGAAAAAAATTGGAGCCGTTTTTGAGAAAATCTTTGTGTATTTTTTTAAAAATTGCAAAAACTACTAAAATTAAAAGAAAGTACATGACTTTAATGAAACAATTCACTATGGCGAATAAATTTTATGCGAAGGAAAAATATCTATCATCAAATATGTAGCTGTAAGAAGACGCCGTAAAAAAAATTAAACTTTTGCAATTTTCGATAATTCAGAGTTAACCGTGAAAATCGGAGATATGCGTCTTTATGTGTATTTTACTCTATTCTTAATGGAAATTGAAAGAAAAAAATTGGAGCCGGTTTTTGAGAAATTTTTGAAAATCTCCGGGGAACTTAATGTAAAGTACCCCCAAATTTTAAAGACAGTTTTTCAAAATCGCAACGCTTGTAGTGGAGCCAGGTCGATCGGGGAATATTCATTTTGGAAAAAATTGTACGTATGGTTTAGGCGCGCAGTGGTGTTCACAGACGGACGGCCGCGGACGAACGTTTTGCCGTCAATGCCGTCAAAGACCCACAAAACAGGGATCCTGGCTTCACCACGTGTTAGAGGATTTCCCCCCTTAATTTAGCAACTGAATTTATCCATTTTTTCATTATCAGGGCCCTTATCTCGACCTCGAATTTCGTGAGCATTTCTTAACTTTTTCTACGTTTGTACATGATAAAGTAACTAGAGATGTTTGAAGAGGAAATTTAATTAACTGGTTGAAAGTTGTGATAATTCGGGGTCTTAGTGCCGAGAATTGCGCTTCTATACGTAATTTTGAACTATTAATGAGCAAGGGGATGATTTGACAAAATGCGTGTTGTTATAAGATGATTGACCCCTCAGTCTTGCTGGTAGTTCGATGCTGCTCCTTAAGAAAGAATTCCCAGGGCAACGCGGCGGGGTCCTTCGCCCCCCTCTCCCCTCCCCAATGCCCCTCCCTCTCTCGCGCTGTCCCTGGCCCGAGCATTTCTCCCTGACATGCACAGCTCACATTTGGGCGTCGTGGCAGGGAATTAAATTCCTTGCCCGGATGCCCAGATACTCACGTTCGTGGATACTCTCGTCGTTAGTGCTAAGGTGAGCGCGGCGAAAAGACGGGTGGGGGGCTCCGAGCCGCCGGGTTGGCCCTCAATTGAGCTCTTGGCTTCGTCTTGGCGTGGCCCGGTACTCATGGGTATTAAGAAAGAACTAGTCCAGACCCTTTGACTTGGAGGCCCTAGGTTCGAGTCCCGATGGTGAAGGATTTTCGACACTAGCTTGTCATCTTGGTCGAATTCAGTCGCTGTCGGGAAGAGAATTGTAGCGACCGGTTACTCTGATCGATAGTTTTCCGTGGTTTCTCCGATCAACACCAGGCGAATGCTGGAGCAGTACCCTAACAAAAAGGCCACAGACAGTGCGCGTCATTTCCTTCTCATTCCTTGTCCTATCCTCTCCCCTTACACACACACTTACACTAACACGCAGTACACAAGCACATATGCCGGGAGACCGGCCGGCAGCTTCGGGTTTGTCCCGGCTGGGACGGTGCTTAGTTGGTGGGAGATACCTGGTTAGGGAAAACCTCGCTAGCCTACAGTAGATCGGCGCCGGATCTCGCTATACATCGAGAGAAATATACCGCCACCTCTCGAGAAAAAAACATTCACTACACTTACGGGCTAATGATCCTGTTAGTTGACGTGCCCGGAATCACTAAAACAATCAAACCAGACTGTTCGAGAAGGTCATTAATTCGACTCCGGTACCTGGAACGCTGGTAGCTCTGGCTGGGAGGCCCCCACACTGTTCAAGTGGATAGACATTCCTACAGAGTGTAGGGTACCGACGTACCCGGATGCCAGCCTGGGTCGGTCACAGTGGAGCCGATTTTGGCCGAAATTTTGGTCGGCCGACGTCGGACGTTTGCGTCCGATATGCCCAATTCGTTCAAACACGTACTAGTAATTAGAAATGGGCATACATCTTCATCTTCGGACGGCGTCCGGAAACGGACGAGGATCTTTTTCGTTTGATTTTGTCGATTCTATTGGCCCCAAAATCTGCAGTCAAGGTCATCTGGAATACCAAGACTACCTGGAATACATGAAGATGGTTTTCAGCGCGCCTCTCGCTAATGTTTCAAACAATGAACTGCGGAATTATGGGGATATTCGGACAATTTTGAATGCAACGTTCGGATGCATTTTGAATGAAGTAAGTCGGACGATTTCACTCGTAATCGTTCCTCAGAGAGCGACCGATATTTCGGTTGCACTGACCGTAGCCTTAGTGCGACTGTATCCTTAGTGCTACCGTAGCTTTAGTGCTACCGTCGCCATAGTGCTAAAGTAATATTTGTTACCTGAAGGGGTGGTAGCTACGCTGGAGATCCACTCTAGGGGCGAGTAATATCCCCCCTGGTAAGACATTGAAGTGTAGGCCTGCAGTTGGCTGTGGACTGTAGCAGTGGTGGCTCATGAACAAATGATCAGGTAGACTAAATTGATTACTGAACAGTGACAGATTCCGGGAAGAGGGCATAGGAGCCAGGCCCCATGTCAATCAATTTCTTTTATAATTTTATTCAAGTTAATCAAAACAATTGACTCATTGATTTTGAAACATTCCAAAGCATTATTTCCACGAAGTACGCGCAGACATGATTTCAAGGTATTTAGATT